CTGTAATTTCTTGTACATCTCCAAATTGATGACTTTGATATCATCCAACTGCCGTCGTAGGGAAATGATGGTGTCCTGCTTTTCATGAATGTCCTTCTCCAACAATTTTGCTGCCATTTCGCTCTCAGCTTTCATTTGAATCTGGAGTTCAAGTTCTCTCTCAACCTGCTTCCTATGAGCACTTTCTTCTTCCAGTTGTTGTTTAAGGTCCTGCATTTCTTCCTCGCATCCAATGACACTAATGCGACTAGCTTTCTTGGCCTGTATTCCAGAAAAGAAAATTATTTAAGAAATCACTTCTTACAACTTCAAACCTTTAAAGTTTCAACACAGATATTCTAGTATCACATCTTATATTATAGGTTAATAGGAATGGCTGAACTATTTGCCCTCTACATAATTCAAAATCATTACATATGAGTATGCAATAGAAATGTAACAACTGACCTCCCTATCTAACTGTTCTTGCTGTTGCTGAGTTGGGAGCCCCTTGTCCTTACGCAAACGGTCATTATCCTCTTGCAAATGCAATATTGAGTTTTTTGCAATGGCCAGGTCCTCTTTCATCAGTGCATTTGTGGTGGTAAGAGTCTCCATTTTTGCTTGTAGGTCTGTGACTGTAGCACTAAAAAAAAGAGAAAATGATACAACATAAATTTCAATTTTTTTTATGTCTAGTCAGATAGGAGACTGGCTTTCCAAATGATAATGTAAAGTATGTTGTTGTTAATGTTATGTTTTTCAAAGTTCTGATAAACTCTATGTTAAACAGTTCCTAAAAACATATCTGTAGAATTACACTAATTCTCAAAAATCAATTGTACAGTTTTAGAGTATTCATGTAAAATGTGGATCAGTCAATATAAATAATCTACTAATAAGACAATCAAATGTCTTCCCTTATGTTATCAAATTAAGCTCTAACATCACTTAACCCAATGACGCCGGATGTACAAAACAAAACAAAAAATCTACGCTATAGCAAACAAAGGCGGCGCGCCGACTTTGAGCGCGTGAGTAGGGGACATCAGCCCGCACTTTGGCACGCCACCGCGGCGTACAGCTGCACGCCAGCTTTTGAGCTATATTCAGGCAGTGTCAGGTAACAACTAACCCTTTACTGACAGGTTAAGAAAATTTTTAAAAACTCTATGCTCTGGAGATTAATGGCAACGAGCCGACTTTGAGAACAGGAGTTCGCTACCTCAAGCAGAACCACCGGCTTGTAGCACTTTGGTGTGTTGCTGCGGCATACAGCCGCCCTCCACAGATCGAGCGGTTTGTTATGACACCTTAGTGCATGGCCCATCGGTATGAGGTTAAGAGGAAGTAGGGCAAATTGTATCAAAACTCCCATTGCTACAAAATGTATATTCATAAAATACAACACAGAAGTGACATGCAGATATACATCTGTGTCAGATCATACATTCTTAACCCAATGGTAACATGTACAACTATAGCCATCATGGAAAATTTTGGCTTTTGATTCATTCTGCCCTTTATGCCAGTGATAGCTGTGTCCACAATAAAGGAATACCTTCTTAACCTGTTACTGTCAGGCAACGAGTATAGCCGTCATAACAAATTTCTTGATCTGCTAGGTACGGCTATACATGTGGCGGCACATCAAGCGGGAAGATCCACTACATGTAATAGACTCCCACTCCAAATGGCAGGACAGCTGCCAGAAATCTCCGGAGTCTATTACACTGAAAGATTTCTAATGCCATTATCTAAGGGTTAATGGACTACTTTCAAAATTATATTATGAATTTTTCAAATTTCCATGTCACATAATAGGTCTATAGAACACCCCCAGTACCTCTTTTTTTGTCAGGAGGAAGGGGGAGAATACCCACAGCACTTTGACTTCTCTGCTTCCCTTAGAGTCATGGTTCCTAGCCTGGATATGGCTGTCAGTATTCCCCAGAAGGAGTACCAGTCAGCAAATTCTCACCCCATCAGCAATGGATTAAGTTACATGTTCCTATAGGTATTTCTAAACTTTGTGAACTGCATCATTCAGGAAATAGACGGATAATTCACTTATCTTTTCCTGATTTTAAAACTAATAAGACAGATCATCTTTTCCTGTCATAATTTTTTGATATTATAGGCTATAATACTCAGGCCAAGATGAGACAAAGTTCCAGTTTCCCTTGACTGATCTCTTTACACTTTACAACTCTAAGACTACCACTTATTAAAGCATACTGAAAACCTTCAACAATGACTTACTTCAGATGGCGATTAAGCTCTTCAATGTAGTTTTTCTGGTCCAATACGGTTGTCATGTCTGTCTGTTCCGGACTGTCATCAGGGCTGGCTTCTCCTCCAGCATTTCGGAGATACAAAGAAAAGTCTATGACACCCATTTGGCTGTCTAAATCTTCTTCCTGTAGAACATCAGTTACTATATCACTTTCATACATTGTGAATGAATAAAGGAGGTATATCAGTAACATGAATCTAAAATTCCAATTCTAGGGAAAAAGAA